GAACACTTACATCCCAAACCAGTAACTCTATTTATATTATTTTCTGATAATACATATATTGTATTTTATTTATAATTTTATATAAGTATAAGGGTATGTGTGTTTCCAAACACAACCTTAGGTTGCACACCAAGTTGACACCAAACACACACAAAACCCTAAATTGAGGATTACTTCTTGCTTTAAGTATTCACATCCAACCAAACTTATGATACATGATATGGGTTGTTTTTAAATACAAAACTTAGTTCAAAATCCGATTTCATGGACCAAAAACACTTAAAAGCGAAGCTCTTCGGCTCTAGGATTTTTATGGAAAAAATCGAGATAAAAGATATTGTTTTCATGGTTCTAGACTTCAACACAAGACCAATAAAGTTTAAGAAAGTCAAGTATCATTCATAGCAACCTAATCCAGGTGCAAAACAGATTTACAAGCTTGGAAAATGATCAAACTCATTTATCAACAAAAATATCCCAAAATATGTATGTTTATGAGATTTTGCAAGCATATGAGGCTATATTCATGATTCTAACCGACCACACTTGACTTTAAGTGTTAAAGGAGGTAAAATACATCATTAAAGATGATTAATAATATTTATAACCCATTAAATCCGACAACCACAGTTTCAAACATAAAATCCCGTAAAATGAAGGATTCTGACGAACTAGGGGCTGCCGGAGGCAGCTCCAACCTCCACACCTATGAAGTTGGCTAAAGTGGTTACAAGGGACGGAGTAATGGAGAAATATACCTTGGGAATGAGCTAGTTCGAATTCCACGGCCGATAATCTTCAAAAACTCTAAACTTTGCAACCTATCTTTTTCCCAATAAATCTCACAAAAACGAAACTCATAAAGGGAGAGGAGTGGTCCAATCGGTCAAAGGGAAGGATGTTTGGGGTAGGGGTCAAATAAATTTCACATTTCGATTTCCTGCAGGTTCAAATCGAGAAGAGAAAAAACATAGTAGGTTGCATCTTATGGACGAGGAAGGAGACAATGACTTTCTACAATTGGCATAAGTGGTCCATGTGGTCTGGCATGCATACAAAATTTACCCCCGATTTTAATTTTTTCTTCAAAACTGCTTTCTAAAAATGGTATAACACCCCCTTGACTTATAAAACCTAATAATTAATTAATTTATTTATTTAACTATTTATATTATTATTGTTGTTGTTGTTGTTGTTGTTGTTATTATTATTATCATCACTTTTATTATTCTTTTTAAGCAATAAAAGAAATACATACCCATAATCGGAAGACGATTTTACAAATCCCCTCCCAAGTCCATCAACTAAATGTCAAACGCCTTAACCTGTTGTCTAAGAATTGCCTTCCCTTGACTCTAATTGATTATTAGAGTCCGTATACCAAACCTAAATATTAGATTTAAGAAGTTGCAACTTCTTCTTAAAAATAACCTGAGGGTTCCCATCAGCATTAATAGGTTGTGCCCAAGATGATCTAACCACCTCCTAAACTCCTGTTAAAGAGAACCAAGAATGAAATAACCAAAAGGGGTAGGCCCGATAATCATCCATATGCTCCAAAAGAATAATAGGCCGGTAATCAAGTGCATTTTTCTCTAAAATAAAAGTTGTAAGATGCAGAAACACGTCAATAACCCACCATACACCAAGAACCAGTCTATTTTACTAAACTTAGACCCCCTTTTTTATTGCACCGGGTGAACCGAGGTCCACCCAAAGGAACATCAATCAAATCATAATCCATAATAAATTGATTAAATGCATCAACAAAAGTCCGACATAATTGTGAACTTAATCTCTCATAAGCGTCTCTAATCTTATTAAAAACACCCATAATCACCACCTCTCCATAAAATCGATTCCATCAAATGAAGCAAATCAACCCATAACTGACGCTTACTAATTAAATCATGTGGGGATTACACAGTAATAAACATAACTAGTAAGTTGGATGGAACCCAAACTAGCTCGACTTCAACATAGGAAACCTTAAAAATCATTTGGATTTGAGGTTATAATAACATCATCAAAATTAAGAGATTAATTATGAATTGCATGCTTTAAATGGTTCCAAGTGTAAAATCGTAATGAGGAATTTTAGGTTATGAAATTTATTTTGAGATTTTATAAGAGGTGTTCCTATATCTAATTACTCAATGTTTTATTTTTTCCACATGTGAGATGTAGTACAAATCGATTTCTCAGTTTATATTAGGGGTGAGCTAAAAACCCGAAAACCTAGTCTAAATTTGGAACCGAACCAGTGTAAGTTAAATTGGGGCGGGTATCAGGTATTAATTTTAGCCTAAAATGGGTATCAAGTATAGTGGGTTCGGGTAAAGGAAACCAGACCTGAAACTTTTAGCTATGATACTCCGACTTTGGGGTACTGTAACTCATTCAATATGGAACCAAAAATGTTGAAATTATAACCTAAATCAAAGTACAAACTATAAAATATATGTTGGAAAAAAATCCCATGTCAATATGGCTTTAAACGAATGACTTATGTAAATTTTGAAACTTTCAAAGATTACATAAAGGGTGGAAAACTGAAAAACTTTCAGCTTTAATACCACGACTTCGGGGGATTGTAGCCCATTCAATTTGAAATCTAAAATGATGAAATTATAGCCTGAATTTAAGTAAAAACTATAAACTACATGCCGAAAAAGATCTCGTGCCAATCTAACTTCAAAGAAACGAGTTATGCAATTTTTAACTAATTACACATTACCCAGTTTTTTCGGTTTTCCGTATGTAGACCTATTTTATCCGATTCCACCCTATCCATTTTAGCATTTTCGAGTTTTCCAGTTCTAAACCCACTTTATCTGTTCCCATATCCGGGATCGGTTCCTGTATACCGGTATGGATTCCGATTATACTAATTCTCTTTTTTCCAGTTTCTGGTCCCGGGTCCATTCGAATTGGGTTTGGACCGGGTTTCACCCCTAGTTTATATAGTATGCATGGCCGGTCCTGAATATTTAAATTAATTTAAATGCTCAAGACGAGCCAGAAAAAGGTCCTTATCGCTATTATAT